ACATTTTTCCGTCTTAAAAATACTTTAAAAAAAAAAATCAAAAGTATATAAAACGTGTGTGGAATGTTTTCATCAGTGTACCAAATGGTATGTGTGGTGCACTGATATATGTGAATGATTGTGTACATGTGTATGTATTCATAACTGAAAACGCATATAAGCATGAATACATATATATTACAGTATAAGAAGGATTATTTATTTAATACAGGATAAATATGCATGATGTACTGTCAGTAAGTGTCTGTGTGTATGAATGATTCTATGTACAGATAAGTAGGTGTTGGTAAATTGTATACACACATGTGTATATGGGACATGAACCGGTTAATTGAAAAAAAAAAAGAATATTGTAATTACTGTAAAGAGACGAAGGGATGGGATTAACATAAGTTTATCCTTCTTTCCATTCCTTTTCAAACAATCGGCTTCTTTATATACAAGAGATTAACGTGTAGAGTAATGCTTTATTTTTGAACGTGCAATTTATTGTTTCATTTAAAAATGTAAATAAATAAAAACAAAATGCACTTTGTTCTTTTGAATGCTTGGAATAAGCAAATTTACCACCTTAAAAAAATTAGCACGGCGCAATAACAGAGAGAGCGGTTTTTCATTGCTGTCACTGGGGGGAGCTACTCGACATACCTTCGTATGTCATTAATATTCCACATGTTGTCTGTGTAAATAATCACTATTTAACCCATAACCTGCTGATCACAGAGCGTGTAAAATTGTAAAAGGGTTTCATTTAATTACATAAATATTTATGATTAATGAATTTAATGATTAGTAATAACAATGGATATTTATATAAATTGCTTATTCGGAGTCAGAAATGAAAAAGGGCCTAAGTACATTTGCACGTGTTTATGTTTTTTTCTTTATTATATCTTACTTTATATTCCTTCTGCTAAATTATCTCATATCTAATGTCCTGTATCGGCATGAAATAAAACACACTGATATAACTTAAGCATTAAAACGGAGCTTACCCACGATTTATTCATGAGTAAAAATGATATGATGTGTTATAGAAATAAGCCACTTTGTGCCTAAAGAACGATTTAGTTTTTGTTCTCTTCTAAATGCGCTGTGGCACTTTTACTTTTGCTAGGTTAAAACCATCCTCAATACTGTTATCCATATATCCATAACCATGTTTACTATATGATCAAAAGTAGTCGTAATTGGACGAACAATCATCCGTGTTTCATTCAGTCAGTCATTCAAAAAGAAAAAAGAAAAAAAAAGCAGACTATGGTTGCTGTCACTTTGACATTTAACCTCCTGCGTGTAAATTAGAGACCATTCATTTCAACCTCGGACAGAGTTCAGCGTCTGAAATACACGGGATGTGTTCAGGGTCACACAAACGGGACGGGCTTGTTTTGAACTGACTTTAAACATATCCCTAAGTTCTTTTTTCTCTCTGTGGAAATGGTGGCAGTGTGCCATACAGAAGGCTGTGTACAATGGCCCAGGTCCCATTAAATCTGCGAAAGTTCCTTCCTGAGGCAAACATTGCCAGAAATAGTAATCTTGGCCTGAACTGGAGCCTTACGAGAGGGGAGCAATAATTCTCGGTGTAATAATGGAAATCGTTTAATTCTGTCCAGCAGCATGTGATCCTGCAGGGCTACGGTGCGAGGTGCTCATTCAGTTTTCCTCCGCCTGATAAGACTTCCTGAAAAACACACAGCGAGCAATCAGGCGACAACAATAGGCTCCGTCGGACGCTTTAAACTTCAGGTAGTCAACAGCGCAAGATTGCACGGCTTTGTTTTCCCCCCATAGCTAGCATGTGACTCATGAACGCTTTGAGATTTGGGTTTCATGTTGTTTGTTTGAGCTCTGATTGCACTCTGCAGTTGATTGTTCAGCTAAACCCTCATTAGCGTTTTAATCTTCTAACATATTTTATTGGTCTTTTAATGGGCGGTGAGACCTCAGTCACGGGGGGGGGGGGGGGTGTCCTCAATTTTCTTGGACTTTTTAAAATAAACTCAAAGGTTGGAGAGATTTTAGCCTGATGGAAGAAGTCTTCGAAACCTGTGATGTAGGAAAATCAAGAAATAGACACAATAATTTTGAAAAACCCTCCAATTACGAGTAAATGAACTCTGTGTTTATGAGCACAGAAGTATTACTAGCAGAACAGTAAAAAAGATTCATACTTTTTGGATATCTTCTACAGAAAAGCAACCCTTAAACTACCATATAATATGTTATGTAAAAACTGGTTATCTGTCAGAGTCCTGAAATCTAACAACAGCCACAAAAAGTACAGGTAAAATGACCGGCTGTACTTCAAAACTGGTACACTTTAAAATGGGGTCGGGGGGAGGGGGGGCGAAGCTATGACGCCCGAGGGATGCCTCCGCACCAGTTCTGCAGCCGAAAAATGCGCACACCACCCTTAGAAGGATGAGAACACACCAAACCCAGTGCATGCACAGTGAAGTCAGTTCTAAAACCTTCACAGTAGGTGAGACCCAACGTGATTCCCCCAGCCCAGATTTCACTCAACCTCCCCCTACACTCACCCTCACTTGTTCTCTTCTGCCCCATAAAACCAAATGCACTACAAATATGATTTTTTAAAAGATACTAAAATTGCACGAACACGGTCACATTACAGTTATTTTTTACAGTTATTTTTGCATGTAATACACACGTATAGTGTATATGCAGGCACTGTAAATGTTTTGAGATCTATTTTTCCTGTATTTGTTTTTTTTATTATTAGAAAGTTCAAGTCAGAAAGGTTAGTTAGGTATTAAATATTACGATTATCATTTTTCATATCAATTCTAAGCCTGCAAAGAAGGCCAAACTCTAACTGTACAATAAAATAAAAATATCTCTGTCTCATACAGAAGGTTTGGAGTACAGTGCGTAACTGGGAAGGTGCACTAATCGTGGAATAAGCAGTCTTTACTTCCATTAAGGGCTTGACTAAAAGGTGACACACACGATATTTGGATGACATATTCTGTGTTCAGACTCCTTCAGAAAACCCCAGTCACACTCATTCAAGTCTCATGCACTTACAGTCCCTTAACCAGAGCCAGGCACAATCGCTGGCTCTGTACCACCTGCCATCATTTATTCAGCCTCACCGAGGAAAGGAGCGATAAAGGTGAAGAATTAGTTCCACAAATCATCAGTAAAATCTGTGAAATCAGCATTTTTTTTCCTTCCAAAGATTTTTTTTCTTTTGGGGGTACCCTCGAAAGGTGAACACCGGTACTGTCACTTTAAGAACTTTAAAAATTGCTTAAATGAAAAGCTGTTTGGCACGAAAAGCCCTATGACCTGATGTCTTTAAAATCGTTAAAAACGTTGTTCTCTCCGTGCCTCCTTTTGCGTTGTATGCGCCGAATTCTTACTCTCATACTCACTTTCTGCAGTTTCTTACATTTTCCAGATTGGCTCATAAATGTGCGCCAGAACTTATATTTTCAAAGCAGGAGTGCTCTCCCGAGCTATGAAACTTGACTGGGCTAAAATGGGTTTGGTAGTTTCCACTCTCTCCCTGCCATTCACAGTTTGTGCAGTGACAAGCTGTGCGTAAAGGCCGATCTGAGGCCCTGTTTTCTTATAAACTTCCCACCGAAAAAGCTAATCAGCTGCACCTGAAATAACTCGAGGCGTGCTGCGTCTGCTACATCCTCTTCCCTGGATTGTTTTGACTGCACGGTGGAGGGCAAACGTTAAATGTCATTTCTAAATTTAACCCGGAAAAGTGTCACTCGAAAACATCATGATAGCGGGCAGTCAGGGTCATCGGCCCTTCCGCCCGCATGAATCAAGACTAAATGAATGCGAACTTCAGAAGCCATTGTTTCAACACATGCAAGAGAAACATGCAATCGGAGTCTTTGAGGAAGGAGGAGGGGGACCCGAAAACAGAATCAAGACAAGACAGTATCAGAGGAGAAGAAAGTGAAGGGCAGTTCATTTAAACTCAAAATGCAGACAGCGCAGACAGTCACACTTAGAAACACAGTATTATCAGATCAGAGATGCTAAAAATCGGTTTGTTTGTTTGTTGTTGTTGTTTGTTTGTTTGGGTTGGGGGTTTTTTTTTGGGGGGGGGGGGGGGGGGGGGACCAAGCCATTTCTAAGCAAAGTCCCTGATTATAAAATCTTATTGGCCGGTGCCCAGCGTGTGTGCATCTTGAGGGGCCTTGCGGATGAAGTATCGCCTCTGAAGTTAATTGTGTTTTCGTTTTAGAGGGGAATAGATTTCCTCTGTTTATTATGAGCATGGGGACGGATTTGCGTCACCGTGCAACTTGCAGGTCGAGATAAAGTTGCACAAATATTGAAAAAGGGAAGTTCTAACAGTCATTATAAAGTTTCCCCCCCTCAGCTCCGGAAGAAATAAGGATTTCTGCTGTATCCTAAAATACTAAAACATGTTCTATTTTGGGGGCAAATCTAGCAGGCATATCCGCTCATTTAACACGAATCACAGCCCATCAAAAACAGGATGAGATGGAGCTAATAGAGACTCTCCTGGGCCCGGGGTTTTAACAGTTGACAGTTCATTATTAAATAGTGATTTTCGCATCACTGCGTGTTGCCCGTCTTTCGTTTTCATTGCAAACTTGTTTTGTTAAAAAAAAGAAGACAAAAAACAGACCTATATTTAAAGTCCGCGTCAATTTCCACGAAGAAGAATCGAAATTAACGTGACAGTCCCTGTGCGTAATGACTGTTTTTGTATGTGGTGATATGAGTGAGGAGGAGGTTCTCTTTAAGTGATCAATCCATCATCTCAGGATCAAAATTGCTCCAACGAGCCCCGGTCGTGTGTGTGTGTGTGTGTGTGTGTGTGTGTGTGTGTGTGTGTGTGTGTGTGTGTGTGTGTGTGTGTGTGTGTGAAAGAGAGAGAGACTATGTTACACATCATCCTCATTTACAAGGGCGTGATGTGAGCAAATGCAAAACATCCATTGGCTCCGACAGCGACCAATCAGTGTCAGCGGAGAAACTTCAGAGTGGAACTGCAGGGTTAGGATTTCAGAGTTGAGAGAGCGATTTGGCACTTACACAAAGAGCACGATCATCTGTCCTCCTAAAACGCTACCCGTGCTTTTTTACATGCCTGTCCTTTTATACCCACTTCTGAGCAACAGCGCGACGCATTAGAAGCTCCGGGATGTACACGGCCGGGCTCAATCCGTTTTATGCATCAAACTTCAGCCTCTGGTCCGCGTACTGCGCGGGGGGCTTCGCTGTGGATACCATGAAGAAACCCTCGTTTTGCATCGCAGACATTTTGCAGGCTGGAGATGCGGAGAACATCTCGGGATCGTCGGCCCTCATGGTGCACATGGGACACCACCACCATCGCGCACAACAGGGGCACTCGGGCAACTCTCCGCTGCGCCCTTCTCCCGTTGCGCCGGAGCCGTACGGTGCCAGGGTGAATCCGGCGTCACCCTACCACAGACACGGACTACAACTAACATCAGTACCCAGAACGGCATTTAACTCCCAACAAGTCCCCCCGCCTTCAAGCAAAGACCTCAAATTTGGAATTGATCGGATACTGTCAACAGACTTTGATCCAAAATACAAAGAAAAGTCGTCACTAAGAGGTGAGCGGAGAGGTTTTTATCCCACTCAAGTTACATTTTAGAGGCGGTTAAACAACAAAACAGGGGTGTGTTTATTACCTTAAATATTTCTATCATACCACATAGCTGTACAAGAAGACAACACAAAATCACATCCAAAGCTTAGAAACTGAAACCAGAAGCAACCTGCTCCACTTTATAGCACTGACAGATTGGTGACAGAGTCCGGGCGCACATAGTCTCGCATTAACGAGTCCTGTGGGGAAATCTCCTCTCTTGCCCCCCCTAACAAGAGGTCAGAGGTCAGGATCAGCTTCAAACTTCAACAACGCAGCTGGAAGATTGTTACGCAGTACTTTAACCAAATCAAATCCGGGCTATAAAGTCAGAAAGGTCCCCCCCATCCCCCCAAACTTTATTTTAAACTTGACAATGTTTGCCCCCAGCAGAAAAGAGCAGAGGTGTAAGTGTGTGTCTCTGCGATAATTGTGTGCTGACTGAAGCCCCTCATCTCTCGCTCTCTATAACAGATCTCGCATCCATCGTTAGCTCGAACCGTCAGTCAGGCATCCACGTCCCCGTTCAGCCTTCAGCCAGCCAGTTCTTCTCCTCCATAGACCACGGGATGAGCGACGCGTCCTCCATGATGAGTTCACTAGGCAGCAGCAGCAGCAGACAATCAGGCCAGCATCAGTTTCAGGACACCTTCCCAGGTAGACATCACACTATAGGACTGTAGCAGACGGAAAAAAATCTAATATCTTTTTTAATGTGTGACACACCTGCTGAGAATGTCCACTATGACTGTTGGAGTCTATTTTTTTTAACCTCATCGTGTTTTCTTTTCTTTTGTCCTTTTCTTTCTTTTTTCTCCATTTAGGTCCATACGCTGTCCTCACAAAAGACACGATGCCTCAGACGTACAAGAGGAAAAGGTCATGGTCCAGAGCAGTGTTTTCAAACCTGCAGAGGAAAGGACTGGAGAAAAGATTTGAAATACAGAAGTACGTCACCAAGCCAGACAGAAAGCAGCTGGCTGCCATGCTGGGACTGACAGACGCTCAGGTAAGATGCAGTGTTTACTCAGGAGGATGGGGCCTGCACTGGCCTGTTTTTGTCATTCTTCTTCTTCTTCTTCTTCTTCTTCTTCTTCTTCTTATTATTATTATTATTATTATTATTATTATTATTATTATTATTATTATTATTATTATTATTATCTCAGAGACAGATTTTGCAGATTAGTAATTTATTTTATTTATTTTATCAACAGCTCACGTAAACCCGCTTTCATATATTTATTTTACGTAACCTAAGGTATCTTTTAAAGTAGAGAAGTCAAGGCAACAAGACATGAGGCATTTTAAATACACTCGAGTTATGAACCCATTTACCCCCATAAAATTGCCCAGTCAAAGTTTATGTTTAGCCTAATTCCCCTGCTCTAAAAGCTGACCTCTCTGCCCTCTAAATCATTGCACACACTGTAAAATACCCACAGTGTGCTTGTTTCTCATACTTCACTGTAGGCTAGTTAACCCAGCTGTTGCCAAACTCAGCGTCCTCACTTGCAGCCAGTGAAGAGGTCAGATGATTTTTGTGCCTCCCCACATTTGTAATTCTCCAAAAAGGTTGTTTTCAATCTTTTTTCTTCTTCATTTTTCTGTCTTTTTTTGGGCTCGTTTATATAAAGAACAAAGAAAAAAAAGGAAATGAGTAACAAAGCTGAAATCCTAACAGGCTTTTACCTCCACCTCAGGCAGCATTGTGACTGTATGGTGCAATGTGATTGGCTAAGAGGCCTTCTGCCATGTGCCAGATCTCACCCTATATTGGGCAACCTTTCGCCACGTTTCTTTTGTGTTTGCATTTCTTCACTTAGCGTCATTTAATCTCACCAAGCAACATTAATGCTAATGACTAAAATAGAAACAGATTCTCATATTTAATTAATCATATATTTTTATTATGTCACATTTGAGGATATATTTTATATGAGGGTTCCAACTTCTTGTCATCTGCAGAGGTTTTATAGCTTTTGCTTTTGCATTTGCATTTGTGGTGTTTATTGCTTTTGGACTGCTCCTTTGTACCAGTGGGATTCACCTGGTAAAGTGAAATGTTCCTGGGCAGTGGTTTGCCTTGAATTGTGTCGACTATTTTTCATTTTTAACAAGAGAGGAAAGAAAGAAAATATTGGGATTTTTTTTTCCTTGAACAAAAACTGTTTAACCCTTGAAATGCTGCTCCAGTTTGTGTGAAGGTTTAGGGGTTGTTTAGGGGAAGGGGAGTACAAGAATTTAACGCTTCCTGACTTAAATGTTTGCTTTCAGGTGAAGGTTTGGTTTCAGAACAGACGCATGAAGTGGAGACACTCCAAAGAAGCGCAGGCCCAGAAGGACAAGGAGAAGGACGAGAAGGGCGAGAAGAGTCTGTCTGAGTCCGGCGGCAGGGAGCCCAAAGAGCCGCTGGAGTCTGAGTGTGAGAGCGAAGGCGGGAGCGATTGTGAATCCGACGAGGCCGGGGAGGAAAGCGCTGATGGACACTTGGACATTTCTGAGCACAATAAGCCCAGCGTGATCATGAGCGGGAGCGCGCCGGCGAGCAGCACAGAGACGGTGGCCACAGTCACAGACACAGCGGCATCACAGGTGCTAATATGAGGACGTATTTAGGTCACGAACAATCATTAGAAGAATGAGAATTTATAAAAAAAAAAAAAAATCTGACAGAAGAACGACAATATGTTCAGACGCCGGGGAAGCAGTATCACTTCCCGCTGCTGTGGTGGAGAAGTTAAGCTTGAAAGGTCGGTTTAATTCCTGGAAACACGTGACGCAAATAGACAGCTTTATTGCAAAATACACCCAGCATGCTGCAGATTATGGTGTGAATTTTACTAAATTTGATCTCTGTTTTGGCCTTATAATAAAACCACAGTGCACGTAAAGTTTAAAGAAAAAAGAAAAGAAACAAAAGGCAGACTTCCGGCCTCCTCCAGTGTCTGCTTACTGTCGTTTTCCTCTCAAGAGCTTCTGTGTGCATGATGTTTTCCTCATGCGAAGGAAATACGGGGTTGTGAATTTTATTTTGAGGTTATGAACCACTCGTTTCACGTTATGAATGAGATCTCAGAACATCACGCCAGTGTTCATGTTATATATATATATATATATATATATATATTTATATATATATAATATTATATATATATATATATGCTATTTTGTTAATCATTTGCACTGAAAATGTTGTAAATAAAATGTTTTCTTACCTTGAAAATCGTATTATTATTATTACTATCATAGCCACACTATTAACAAAGATATTCTGTGCGATGCATGCTTGGCTGTTTGCTTGTAAACAGTGCAACTAGAAAATTCAACTAACACAAACAGCAATAAATTTCAGAAAAATAATGTAGGTAACTTTTGTTACATTTATTTTTTTTATTTTCATGAAGGTTAATAGCAGCTGCTGTCCAAAAGAATAATCTGCGAAAATAAAAGACGATTAATATCAATATGTAGCTAATTTTTTATTATTATTTGGAAACACCAAACGAACTTATCATTGTTTAAACATTTTAAATGCAACATTAGTTTTAAAACATAATAATTTGTAAATCTACCGTAAATAAATGTTTGCCCTCGTGGAAGCGCATTTCTGTCCTCTGGACGCTGTTAATTCAGGCAGTGCCGAAAACGGGGGAGACACCCAGAGGATAATTTACAGTTTGTATACAGTTACTGGCTCCAGATAGCAGCGAGGACCCGGATTAGTATATTTTATGCATCCAGACAGATACAATCAACATCTATTCATAATCTCCCATCTGAAGTCACTATTCACACCAAATACAAATAAACGATGCCGCTCATAATCCAGCATCAAATGATATGTCAGTGACCCAGTGAAATGTCCCAGTTAGCCAATCACGAAGGCAACAGGGGAAAAAAATCAACATTGTTGCAGCCATATACAGAAAGCTGCACGTGCAGGGCAATGAAGTGAGCTAAAGGATGTTTAATAGCATGATGTCATGACACACTCCCCACTTTTACATGTCTATTATGTCTATCTGTGTCTGTAGGAGTAATTCTGTTTTATAAGGCACTCGTAAATCTTGACTAAAACGCAGTGACATCTCCTCAAACTCTTCATTCCTCATACTGCAGTTTTAAATACAATGTAAATGTCATAACAAAGATCAATATTCATTTCTGAGTGGTCATCATAGCTGTCAGAGTCACGTAAAGCACTCTGTTACGAAAAAAGAAAACCCAAAAAACAATTGATGACTTCTCCAGAAAATTCCTCCTGTGTAAGTGTTTTCCAGGCCAGCTGCAGGCCAGCGTAATGGTTGTGTAAGATGACAGTTTGAGTCACACTGTTGTTTATTAATATGAGTATAAATATATTTAAGAGCTCCAGTGTCGTGCGTCTTGTACAGCAAGGATAATTTTTGCATTAATCTGAAGCAACCTGCCTCGGCTACTAGAAGGTCTGTTGATGGAAAATAAGCCTGAAGGAACTTTATGGGAAAACAAGCTAATAAATAAGCTTTGTACTGTTTTACAATGTTTCCTAAACTCCTAAACACCAGCACTGGAAGATGTATGAGGATTTATTGGAGTTAGTGCCACACAGTACTCCTAGGCAATGGGCATCCAGGATTTCACGAAAACTATTAATGAACTGAAAATTGCGTGTATATATATATATATATATATATATATATATTCTTGATTCAAAGGCATTTTATTTTATTTTGTTAACAATCTGTACAATCCTGCTATATTTCAAATATTGTGCTCCTGTGGTATTTCTATATTTACTTAAATCACAGATTTAAACAGGTGCAGCTTTCACTCGGGTTTAATCAATTCAGTCCAAGAACAACAATAAAGCTGATCACAGCGTGACTAGCTGGAACTATTTTCACTAAGTCAAGCCCCTTTCGAGATAAATATCATAGAGAGCTTCACAGTAAAATGCTAAAAAGATAAAGATATTTTTTTTTATTAATTATTTAAAAGAAATGTTGAAAAAATGAGCTTTTAGCAGCCATATAAAAGAGACTCCACAGTTTTTTTTATGCTGCACAGTCGCCAGTTCATGATCACATGACCTCAGGGACCTGCTGGGGATGTAGGGATGTAAAAGACTATATGATAATCTGTAACAGTATTCCTTATTCATTATAAAGTTACCATTAGTATGTGTGATAAATCCCAATTTTCAGACTATGACATAAATGTAGCTGAAGATAGCGCAAACATTTAAACATTTTTTTAGATTAAAATCTTCCAAACAGAATGAAAATGGGGTGGTGGCATGATTTGCAGTGATGCACAAATTAATCTCCACCCTTAATCCACTCAGGAAACTCAAAGTTCTTCGCTCATTCTTGTCATGTAATCAGCAACATCATAGTGAGTTACCCAAAAAACCTGGACCACCAGAAACTTTCTCAACTACGGAGTCCTCTCTCTTCTCCTCCGGAAAGAGCGCTGCCCCCCGAGAGACCTGGGGGTTTTCCGTTTTACTTTAGCATCTTGAATTTCACTTTCCTGCCGCCATGCCTGGCCGTACAGTATACCTGCTGCCTTTTATTTACCCCTAAGCTTGATTCAGCGTCGCTTCTCCTAAACTTGGCTTGGGACGGTAGAGAAGTAGATGGCACTCTTCATCTTCCTCTTCACTCTTAATTCTTGCTGGATGAGAAGTTGTCAGAGTTATGATAGTCAGTTTCCATGGAAGGCAGTAAAAGCTCCGGGCACTTTATCAAGCTAATATTAACTGTTAAACACTCGTGTATTAAATGTCTGGGTGGGTTGAGTCTCGAATTATCCTCAAAAAGCCATAAATTACATTAGTATTTGCAAATGTACAATAACAATAACAATCCGAACCCTTAACATAATACTGAGAGGCCTTGATTTGTGAACTGTCCTAAGAACTTTTATGAGCAGGATAGGAGAAAGTCCATCTGGCCTGTATTTAATGTCAGCCTTTCCGCCTCCATTAAAAGCTGTCCTATACGTCCCTCTTGACAGCCCCAGGACAGGGCAACCCATAAAACAAACCAACCTCGCAGATTTCAGCCAATATTTAACGCTTTGAAAAAGTAACTGTGTACAACAAATTACCTCAGTGAGAGCAGAGGAGGGGGTTTCTGTCAGCAGTGCTTGAGAGATTAACGTGACTAAAAGCCATGACGTCTCAAGTGCTTTGAGGCATTATCTGTGAAGTTGCTCGATAGGCTGATGGAGATTTCTCCCGCGTTGCTGTAACACATCAGACAAGGCCTTAGCGCCCATGGTGTTGCGTATGTCTCTACAAAGTAACAGAACAAGTGCTTATGAAACTGCCGCTGATAAAAGCTGCGTGCAAAAAAACATAAAGGTTTATGTTAGTAAGTCTGCTTCTTCCTCTTTTGGAAGATGATTTTGATAGCATCTTTAATTGTCATGGTGATAGGGATAAGGATCATGATGTAAACATTTCAAGAAAATGATCATGAATTTCTTCAACCAGCCTAGAAAGAAGAAGTGTTAAACTGGCACTTAACTGCTTAAACTTACACGTTAAGACCTTTCAAATGAGTTTATTGGATTATCATGCAAATGTTGCACTTTAATGGTGTAGCAGCAGAGTTTTAAGTCCTTTATTGTGGTTATTAAATAACAATGCATCATGTATTTTACAAGCTGAATATCTGGTTAAAGTGTGTTGGAAGGTTACAAAGGACACAGAGTGGTTCCTTTAGGGTGTTTATCTGAGGAGTGAACCGCATTTTATTTTATTTATCTGATAAAAGTCAGTTACTAATTTTAGTTACATTACCTACATTGATCCAGTTTAGTGGCTCATTGTTGTAGTGGTTTACACAACTGTCTAAGAAATGAGCATACAAGGAGACAAACATCCTTTCAGGGTTGCATCGAGAAGCGAATTTGGTATAAAAATATGCTGTTGGAGCCATAACTAAATGTATTGAATTTTGATGATCACTGGGTTTTTCATTTGTTTGGTTGTTATGGTGATGGTGCTTTAACTGTGAGCTTCCTGGTTTTGAAGACACTGAGTGTAGCGATATCTTCTCTTTAATATAGTGGAACTTGATGGCACTTGCCTCAAGGTGCCAAAAAAACTGAGGCAGGTTTGAAAAGTGGATGATGATGATGATGGGAAAAGCCCGATATGACATTTGCCAAAAAGAATGTACAGAAGGGTATCAGCTGACATGGGCTGGCATTAGGGTCAGCTGATCTAATGGGACTGCTACACGAGTTTGACAGAAGTAACCTGTGCTTAATATGAAAAAGGTCACAAGCAGTGTTTCTTTCCAGAAATCATGACGCAGCTGCTCCACTAAACTTGTTGTGAGTAGTTTCATGGAGGAACCTTTTTTTTTGTTGTGTCCACATGTACTTATTAGAAGAGGTGCGCTGCTATCCAGTGATGTCTAATTTGTGTCATGTTTGCTTCATAAAAAAAAAGAATAAGGAAAAAAATGTGAAAAATAACAGCCCCATTGTCATTTGAGGTGTTACCCATGTGTAAACCATACTTTGTGTTAAAGTTGTGTTAAATCATATGAACGTTTTCACAGGACTCTGCAGTCGTGATTTAGTAGCTTGTAGAACCACCTTTGGCAACAATAACTAATCATTTTCATATGATTTCAGTCTCTCAGTGTTGCCCCACTCTTCTTTACA